TTTTTTTTTTTTTCACCCTCTCCTCTCCTTCTTTTTTTTTTTTCTATTTTTACCAAAAAAAACAATGATGACAATTTATTCCGCGATTATTTCGGTCCGTTCATTTTCTCTCTCTCTCTCTCTCTTTCTTTCTTACTATTTTTCCTTATTTATTTCCTTTTATTGTCATCATCTCCAATCCTACCCCCTCTTTGTATGAGTCCCAATGGCGGCTATTTGCTATTGGGTTCTCTCATGTTATTTATTTCCAACGTAAAAGAAAAAAAAAAAAGAAGAATCGATCAAGAAGGGAGTAGAAAGAAGAATACTTCGACAGTCACAGTAGAGAAATATATCAAATCAGTGATGAAAATAATAAAAAGAAAGAAGGAAAAAATAAAAAAAATAAGGAAATAATAATGATGATGATGATAGTAAAGTAAAGAAGAGCAAAGCGGCAGGATTAAAAAAATAATAACGGTTACAATAAATATGATTTCTATTTTACAGGAATGCAGGGACTGATCAAGAAAATCAACAGAGAAATACCCTCTTCTTTCCAGACCTCTGAAGATACTCCGAGGACTGAGAAAAATATATAAGATAATGAAGAGTGACGATAAAAAAAAAAAGAAGAAAAAGGAAAAAGAATATGAATAGTCTCTATAAGTCGTCTAGAAAGGAAAGTTAAAGAGTATTGGAGTATGCATAAAAAATGTCGGTTGTAGATGATAAGAAGCAAAACTGAAAAAAAAAAAAGAGAGATGAGGAAATATTTGTCTATATCAGAGTGTAGGTTTTGTTAGTCTCCTTGTTTTTTTTTTTTTGTTTTTTGCCTTCTTTTTCCATTTCAACACTTTTCTGCAATAATATATTACACGACAAGTGACCCTTTTAGGAGGTTTGTTTGCTTGTATTTCCTTATTAAGTTATCTTTTATAGTCTTCATTATTCCTTTTATTTTTATTTGATCCTGTTGATGACTTTCTTTTTTTTTTTTTCTTTTTTTTTGTTATTGAAATGATTTTGCACTCTCTGCTTATATATATATATATATATATATATATATTCTTCTTGATTACTTTCTTTTTTTCTTTTTCTTTTTTTTTGTTATTGAAATGATTTTGCACTCTCTGCTTATATATATATATATATATATATATATATATATATTCCCTTCTTCAGTTTTGTCCTTTACTTTTTCTACTCTTTTCTGGCATAAATATTGACTTCAGTGCTTGTTTTTCTTTCTTTCTTTCTTGATATTCTTTTTTTTTTCTTTTAACTTCGTTTCATTTTTATTTTTATTTTCTGTTTTATTTCTTCTTTTTTTTCTTCTTCACATTTTTATGTGTCTGATGTATTTTTTTTTTTTTTCTTTTTTTATATTTTAAATATCTGACGTCGCTCTTTGCCCTCTTGTAGAGTCCCTGACAGCAGAAGAGAAATGAAGAAGAAGAAAAAGTAAAAGAGGGAATAGAGGTGGGTATTATGGTACCCCAGAGGTTTATTCCGAGTCAATATGAAGATCAACAAAAAAAGAAGACAGAAGGAAAGATAGACCTAATAGAATAGAAGAATTGTAAACAGTTTCTCTCTGCTGTTTTTTTTTTTTTTTTCTTTTTCTCTTTTCGGGACGTCCAGCACTATCAGCTGCAGCAACGCTTTGATGTACTGTACAAGAGAGAGGTTGAAATGGAAGGAAAGGGGGAAATTCACGTATGCAAGCGTAAGTATGGGTTCATGGCAAAAGCTGTACATATATATATATATATATATATATTTATGTTCTTTTTTTTCTTGTACTCCTTCGAATACTCTTCCCTCCTTCTTCTAATTTCGATTTCTTTAGTCTTTTTTTTTTCTCTTTTTGCTTAACTGTGTTTCTTATGTTGGAGGGGTTATTGTTATATTTACTTTTAGGCGTTTTTTTTTTTTTTAATTTGTTTTGTTACAGATAGGAGGAGAGGAGTGTTTTCCCATTCTCATGGCGGTATAATACAAAGAAAAAGAGAATATATATATATATATTCTCATCTCTTTATGTATGTATGTATGTTTTTTTTTCTCTTGATTCTCTTGAGACGTTGACAAACGACAGTACACTTCAAATGGACTTTCTTAGTGAGTCTCTTTCTCTTTTTTTTTCTTCCATGAGTATATATAACCGAAAAAAAAAAAAATAATAAACGGTAAGTTACTTGTTATCTCTATTTTTATTGATTTTTTCTTTTTCTTTTGTTTGAGTTGCTGCCAGCACCCTTTTCCCCTCTAACTACCATTTTCCCAGAGTAACTCTTTCTTTGTGGTCTACACAACATATTTTTTTTTTTTTTTTTTTTTCTCTAGAAAGAAATAAACTTTTGCATTTCTCTTTCTTCTTTTTTTTTGTTTACTTTTTTCCTCTCTCTCTCTCTCTCTATATATATATATATATATATATATATATAAAAGGTGGGGAGTAACGGTACTAGGCAAGAGTCTAAAAGAACGAAGGAAAAAAGAAAAAAAAAAAAGAGTCCGGAACACCACCACTCACACACAGAAACACAAACATACTCTCCCAAAAAAAAAAAAAGAAAACAAAACAAACAAAAAAAATAGAAAAAAGAATAAATACACACTCACAGTGAGAAAGAAATAAAAAGAAAAGTATATTATGACCACTCCTCTTACAACGGCCGTGAATGCAACGCCGTGGGGTTCCATTGCGGTCGCTCTGCTGGTGGGCACTTCCTTCGGCGCCACCGTCATGTACGCCCTCCTCCGCCGGCCTCGCCCTTATCTTCATTTGCCCTCCTCCCTCCTTCAGCCCGGCGGCGGTGGCCCTCCGGCAGCGGCCCAACTCCCATCATCAACAGCCAACGAAGAAGAAGAAGGAGGGGGAGGAGGAGGAGGGGGGCGGGGGCGGGCGGCCAAAAGGGCGGCGACGGCTGAGAGACCCGGCGGCTCCAAGTCGGTTAGTTCGCTGGTGATCTCCGACTCGGACGAGGCGGACGACGGGCGGCTGTGGCTCCGGTGGAGTGAGCGGCCAGGCGATCAGGCCTCCACCGCGGAGGCTTCACCCACACACCCTTACACTGCGGGCAAAGAGGCGTTGAATGTCTCACCCGCCAACAGGGCAGACGGACAACAGCAGCAACAGAAAGAAGAGAAGTCACCACATCGAGGCCAACAAGATCAACAGGGAAGACAGTCATTGTTACAACAACAATATCAACATGAACATCGGAGATCGCGACGTAGAAGTTCCCTTCAGTATTTACTGAAATCCTACATGAGCGCAACGGAAGCGGAGAGTTTATACAGTGATTTGGTGAATGATGACTCTATGCGTGCTTCATTTAGTGAACCAGCTAGTGCTAATTTAGGCAGTGATCACGGTGATGTGCGGGAGGGTTCTAACAGTTGGAGAGGAAATTCGGTACATAGTCTAATTCCCAGGACGACGGAAACCGATTCAAGTGACTTCAGTACCGTGGATGATCTCCTTTCGCATGAAGTGTCTTCTTCATCAAGTGAGGAGGGGGATAATGATAATGATGTTGAGAATGAACTGCATCATAAGATGTATTTACCATCTCCTACTGATAACGTTATGGGATTAGGACAACGAAAGGAATCTGACTTGTTGCAAGATCTCCACAGATCATCTTCAGGGTTTTGTCAACGTAATCAATCTTACTCTACTTCTACACATCCTATTGATGGTCAAATACGTATGCGATTAAGCTCTGAAAGGGACTCTGTATTTTCAAATCGTCAATTTTACCATACTGTGAGTGGCGCTATTATTTCTCGACTTCCCTCTGAACCTTCAATTCGTCGTATGTCAATAAGACAACTTTTACATTCTCCACCCTTATTGCGTTCTTCTAAAGATGATGTAAGTCCAGATGATGGGAGTGGTACATCACATTCTGCTCTTCCTCCATCACCACCATCTCGACGATTAAATCAATTCCCTTCTCATTCTCTTCGAAGTGTACCAGATGAACCTATTTATCGTATTGTCATTACAGGTGGTCCATGCAGTGGTAAGACATCATGTCTTGCATACCTTCGAGAAGTATTTGTTAATCTCGGCTTTAACGTTTTTTGTGTACCAGAAGTGGCAACACTGCTGCATACAGGTGGTGTAAATCTTCTCTTAAGCAGTCCTGAAGATCGTATTACTCAACAACGTGTTATTCTTCAAATGATGATGATGCTTGAGGATGCTTTTTATGAATTGGCATCTCTACGTGGTCGTCCCTCATTAATTTTATATGATCGTGGTACAATGGATGGTAGTGCCTACTGTTCAGAAGAGGAATGGCGAACAATTCTTCTCGTGACAGGATACACTAATGAGGAACTCTGCGATGTACGTTACGATGCCGTTGTCCATCTCGTCACTGCCGCAGATGGTGCGGAATCTTATTATACTCTTGCCAACAACGCCGCCCGCTCTGAAGGATTGGAAGAGGCAAGATGTTTGGATACATGTACACGAAATGCCTGGCGTGGACATTTTCTTGTAGGAGTTGTGGATAATACAGAAGATGGGTTTGATGGTAAACTGCACCGCACCGCGGAGTTCATCGCCGGAGTAATGGGTATTACTCTTCCAAGTGATAAACAACACACAGAGATGACCACAGAAAGTGGTACGGACCACAGCAAAGAGACGATGAGGGCAAGTATCACACAAGAAGAAAAAGAAAAGAAGAAAGATACTATGGAAAGTAATAATAGTAATAATAACAATAGTACAGGAATTCATCAGTTTCCTCTTGGAACGAATACACTTGTACCCAATACACATAATCAACCTGCAGGTGCCACACTTAATGTCTTTGGTGTATGTGATCATCTCCAACGTCACTTCTTTGTTACTCGTGTGAATACTGCTCGTATTCCCGCAGATGCCATAGTGACAACTGTTGTCGTGGTCCCACTCTCTCCATTACATCCTGATTACCGCAGTGAAACCATCATTCGCCTCTCCCGCGCTCATGATTCCCATCCAGTCTACTTTAGATGTGTTGAGTTTAACGACACAGTGGATCCACTACCACCATCCGCAGCCGCAGCCACCGTCACTTCAGCCGCAGAGACAACAACTTCACCCCTCAAGGGCGAGAAACAAAAAGAGAGTGGACAGACAACGACGGCTACGGCGATTCTCCCGCATAGAAGAGCACGTGTACAAATTACAAAGTCTACATTTAGAAATCTCGCACAACGTCGGGATATTTCACAGCCTGTGATATGTAAAACGATGACACGATTCTTTTATAATATGCGGCACCTCACACTTGTGCGGTTTAGTCATCCACGTGAGTTGCGTGGCTTTTGTCGACTTGTAGCACCTGCGGGTACAACAGAAGAAGACTTTAGTGATTTGGTGGTGGTGGAGCCGTTCTTTCTACTGAAGTCAGAGGAGACATCAGAGGAAAAGTAAAGGAGTAAGAAATGATGAGAAGGGAAAGAAAAAAAAGGAGTAGAGAAAATAAAACAAAATAAAAAAGAATAAAATGTTTACATAAACTCTTTCTCTCTCTCTCTCTCGCTTTCTTTATTATTATTATTATTATTATTATTATTATTATTATTATTATTATTATTATTATTATTGTTATTATTATTTAAATATATGTATGTATTTCCGTTTTGTCGCACTACAAGAGGAGAAGAAGAAAGTTATGCCTTGCTTTATCTCCAGGTATATATATATATAGTTTGCACATCTTCACAAATGTATATACTTCTTATTTGTTGCATGTCTTTTTTTTTTTTTTTTACAGTTTTTATCATGAAAGTCTCCAATATGGAGTAAGGTTTTATAGTTGTTTTTGAGTAAATAAAAGAAAAGAATATGATTTCATTATTGAGACTGTTTTTCTTTTTTTCGTTACTGTAATGTCAGTTTTTTTTTTTTTTTTTTTCTCTTCTTTTGACCCCTTTTTGATCGTTTTTTTTTTCATTTCTCACGTTTTCTAGCTTTTTCTTTTTTTTTTTTTTTCTTTATTGCTTGTTTTTGATGTGAAGTGAACTGTTCATTGTTTCCATCACTTTCTATGATGATATTCAGTTGTTGTGATTATTTTTCCCTATACTCATAAATTACAGCAGCAGTTTAATGTATACGTGGTTGCTCTTTTTTTTTTTTCTTTTATCTTTTCTTTTTGTTTCTTATTTACCGCTCCCTTCTCTGGCGTTGACCTTTTGAGAGGTGGTTGGTATCTGTGGAATATATCTCTTTTTTTTCCCCCTTCTTTCTTTCTTTCTCTCTTTTTTTTTTTTTTTTTTCTTTGGTTTATTATCAACAACTATTCTTCTTTTTTTTTTCATTTTTATGCGTTTTGTATTATTTCCAATAATAACTCCCCGCATTCGTATGTTAATCTGTACGTTTACTTTTTTTTTTTTTAATCTTTTTCTTCATTTTACACTCACTACCATTATTATTGTTCCTGTTGCTCTTTCTACCCTCTTTTTTTTTGTTGTTAATGCGGCTGTTCTTCTTACGGTTAGCATGAGTAGAATGTTCAATTCCTTCTTTAATGATTGTGTAAAAGAAAGGAAAAAAAATGAAAAATGAAAAAACAGAGTTTTCTCCTTCTATTTTTGTTTTTTGTTTGTTTTTCTCATTATTATTATTATTATTTTTTTTTTCTTTTTCCTTTCTTTTCTCTTAACCACATCTTTATATATATATATATATATATATATATATATATAAACTGTAGTACATATATCCTTTCTCTACAGGACCATTGTAGAATTAATGTCGTTTAGACACAACCGCACGTTTCTTTTATGTGTTGTTGTGAGAAATCATCACTGTGTGGGATTTAATCTTTTTCATCCTTCGATGACTCTCCGTTTCTCTCCCACTGTGATGAGAAGGACCATCAGTGTACACTCCACCTCTCGCCGTCTATACTCTTCTTCCTCTTCTTCATTGGGAGGAAAAAGAGATCATGTCATTTCTGCTACGGAACTCCGAGCCGCCCTTCATGTCTTTTCTCTTTCCGATGATGCCACGGACGCCGATATTAAAAGCCGATTTCAGCAACTCGCGAAGAGTAGTCATCCTGATGTCCTCCAGGGCAATAATAATAATAATAATAATAATAATAATAATAATAATAAGAATGGGGTTGATAGTGCTGCTGCGGAGCGGATGCGGGAGGGAATGGAGGCGTATCGACTGTTGCGTTCATACACCGCAGAGGAGCGAGAAATGATTTTGCGAACATCACCCAACAACAATAATAATAATAATAATATGGATATCAGACTAAAGCGGGCGGAGCAAATTTATCGTGGTCGTCCACGTACAACTAGTACAGTCTCTGATAGGAATAGTAACTATGATAAGAGCAGGAGTAGTACGGCGGAATTCAATAACTTCCAGAGACGCAGAGAAAAGATGAGAGAAAATGCACCGCCGTGGAATATCAATGAAGCTGCCACTATATCACGGGCACAGTCACTTCACTTTATGTTCCATACACCCCATAGGAATACGAATAATAATAATAATAATAATAATAATAATATTAATGATAATAATATTAATGATAATAATAGGCGAAGTTCATCTTATTACCATAAGGTAGATTTATCTTTCTGTGGTGCTTTTCCTGATGAAATGAGGGAGGCGAAGTACACTCGAATGCGTCGACATCATGAGACTATTTCTATACGGGATGCTATTACTGCTGTGGTTGCGAGATATCAAATCACATTAGGTGTTTGTCTTGTTATTATTACTGCTGTTATTATCATAGTATATACTACGGTATCAGGGCAGCAGCGTAAAGAGTATTTAGTGCTACCGCCAGTGGGTGATGGGGTTTCTCATAAACAACAACAACAACAACGATAAGAAGAAGAAGAAAAAAAATAACAATCTAATCACAAAAATTGGGTTTTGACAAGATAATAAGTGGAAAAGAGTGACGTATTCTCATTATTTCTATTGAAGTATGAATACTGTGTATATCTATGTATCTATCTATCTATCGTGGTAATATGGGTTTCTCTCCCTCTCCCTCTCTCTCTCTCTCTCTATCACGTATACTTTTACGTGATGTAAAAATTATAATCAACTTAAATGTATTATATATGTATAAATATTATTATTATTTTTTTTTATTATTAGTTCTTTTATTTTCATTTTCTGCTGTTATCATTAGTAAATGTTTATTATGATATATGTATTTATAGAATATTTAACTATTATTGGATGATTTACTACTACTAATATGTATGTATATAAATATTTTATTTTCCTTCTTTTTCCTTTTATTTCATACTTCATTCAGTGCCCCTAGTACATACCTGCGTATACCTAAACATACTCCCATACACGTTTAGTGGAGAAACGCCGTTTTTTTATTATTTTATTTGGTTGCTTTGTATTGTTCTTACACTTTATCTGTGTGAAGAATCGAAAAAAGGAAGGAATATAAAGAAAAGAAAGAAGATAAGCGCAACTGCAGTAATAATACCATTTATATAAGTGGTATCTCCTCTTCCTTTACAGTGTGCTTCTCCGCAAATCCCTTAGACGTGAACGACGATTTGAAAGAAAAAAAAAAGGAAGGAAAGAAAGAAAGAAACAAAAGAAACAACAATAACAACAACTGGTCAAAACAGGTAAAGACAATATACCTTCACCAGGGATTTCAGTTAAACCAAATCAAGGGCAATAAACACACAATAATGAAAACGGCAACAACAGAAACATCAACATCAACAGAAGCAATAGTAGCATCAGCATCTCCTACATCGGGTAAAACGGATGATAATGAATCGCGTGTTAAAATGCGATTAAGTGATTTTTTCTCAGATCCCGTTCGTCCATTTAACGAGTGGAATTGGACTGAAGCCGCCTTCTTTAAGAATTTACGTGAACAAGAAAGAGTAAATTCTTCTTCAACTCCTGGTGATGCTAATGAAATGGCAGCGATGGGATTCTCCTGTTCTGTATTCGAGTCCAGTACACTTGGCGACACACAATCTCGTCAACTCTCTGCAATAACACAAGAAACTATTGCCACTGTGTTGTGTACAGATATGATGAATACCGCCGCTGCCGCTGCCGCCGCTGGTAATAATAGTAATAATAGTAGTAGTAGTACTAATAGTGGTGGAAGTAAGTCTTCCTTACCAGCACAACTGGAGTCACCTGTGCAAGTGTTAACGCCCATATTGGATAACTACACAATTCCCATTACCAAACAAGGACCAGAGTACTTTGCTAGTGGTGGAGAACCAAGTGTGTCATCTATCTGTATTATTATGGTTGGACTCCCAGCAAGAGGAAAGACATTTCTAGCACAGAAGTTATGTAGATTACTTGGCTGGCATGGTTCCCGCGCAAAGGTGTTAAATGTACAAACACCATGGCGACGTTTACTACTACAATATAAAAGATGTCATCATGGTAAAAATAATATAACTAGACTACAATCAGTTCCTGGTGATTCCCCTGGAAATTCAGTTCCATTATGGAGTGGAATATCACCAATGAAAACTACAGTGGACTCAAGAAGAGGTACAATGCAATCTTCACATGATAATGAATCAGCTGAACAACAACGGGAAGAACACAAACAACGACCAGAAGAATTAACAGAAGAAGAAGAAGAACACCATCAACAACACCAACAACATCAGGAAGATACGGATTATATTGGAGCAGAACATTTCCGTGCACTTGTGAGTGATCCTCATAGTGTTGAACGTCGTTTGTATCGTCGGGTACTGGAGCGATATGCCCTAGACGCAAAGGCTTTCTATGCGAATGGTGGAGATGTACTCGTAGTGAATGATGACTTCCCAACGGAGGAACTCCGTGAAGAGGCAGAGGCATTGTTTGCCCCTTTAGCTACACAGACATTTTTTATGGAGGTCATTCGTGACGATAAGATGAATAAAAAATTCAATGAATTTAAGGTAAAGGATGTTTTAGAATATCCTCCAGATGTGAATGCCAATAGGGCATTAAAGGATTTTATGGACCGTGTGGAATACCTTTCAAGTGTTTACAAAACACTTACACCTTGCTGTGATGATAGTGATAGTGATAGTGAGGATGAGGAAGTGGAGGAGAAGGATGATGTGAATCCGACTACTTCTATAACAACAATAACAACAACTACAACAACTACAACGAATGTTGACAATAGTAATAGTAATAATAATACTAATAATACTAATAATAATAATAATAATAATAATAATAGTAATAATACTACTACTAATAATAATAATAGTAATAGTGATGATGATGATGTCAATTCAACTTGTAAGAAGGATGAAGGACATGGAAAAGTGGGAGGAGTTAGTGAACATAACCGGAAAAAAGAAGAAAAAATGATCAAGTGTCGAAGATCGAGACGATATGTAAAATTGTTAAATTCATCTGAAATTGAAGTCTATGGGGTAACGGGATATGCGGCCAGTCGAATAGTTTCTTATGTGATGAATCTCACTCAAATGAAAGTCCATCATCCCATTTATTTTATGCGCCATGGGGAATCCTTATATAATACAGAAGATCGTATTGGTGGGGATTCTCCATTAACAGCAGATGGAGAAAAAGAAGCCATTGAATTACTTGGCTTTTTGGCATCCTTAAAGGAACATTGTCTTGAAATCGCGAAAGAGCAAAAAGAGGATGAAACGTTCGCGACTTCTACTTTAAATAGAAGTTCCTCCTGTCATCGAAGCGATGGGGAAACGCAAGAGGTGATAGAGATATGGACAAGTCAACTTCGTCGAGCCATTCAAACTGTTGAAAAGAGTGAAAAACTACTGGGTTTAAAGACGCTACGATGGCATAGTTTAAATGAAATCCACGCAGGTGTCTGTGAGGATTTAACATATGCTGAAGTTCGAGAAAAATATCCCCTCATTGATCATTTCCGTCGTCTTAACAAGTATACCTTTCGCTATCCTGAAGGGGAGAGTTATCAAGATCTAGTTATGCGTCTGGAGCCTGTTATTATGGAATTAGAGAATGCAGATCGTGTGGTTGTGGTTGTGGCCCATCAGGCCGTTCTTCGGGCGTTGTTGGCGTACTTTGGCGGTACTTCCGCGGAGAGTTGTGTGCGGCTTGAAGTTCCACACCGCACGGTTTGGTGTTGTACATATAATACGAAGGGAATTGCCTCACTGCATGAATTGCGGTTTGCAGAGCAATGAAGTGAACTGCAGTAGAGAGAGTGTGTGTGTGTTGATAAGAAGATATATATATATATATGAAAGGGAGAGGGGGAGAAGAAAGTTCTTTTTAAATGCAACAAATTATGATTACAGTGACTCATATGTTCGGTGGATATTTTTATTTGAATGTGTTTATTATTCTTATTATTATTGTTATTATTATTACTACTACTATTCTTATTAAGATTATTATTGTGAGTGTGCATCTTTGCATTTCCATTAGTGGCAGTATATGCAGCGGTAAAAAAGAAGGGAAGGAAGAGGGAATGAGAAAAAGAAAAAGAAGATAGGATGAAGAGATATTACTGGGGGATGAGGGGTGACTCACCCCCTCACCGTTGAAAAAAAGAAAACGAAAATGAAAAAAAAAAAACTGTCGATCATGTAAAGAAAGAAGAAAAGAAAAAAAAAATTCAAAGTGGAATAAATGAATGAATGGTTTCTCTTAGAAAGAGAGAGAGTGTGTGAGTGTGAAAAAGAAAGAAAAGAAAAAGAAAAGAGGTATATATATATGTATAAATATATTTATATGTTTATATATATATATATGTATAAATATATTTCCAGGAGTTACATGTGAAGAAAATAGATTGATGGGTCCGTTAACTTGCACAGGAATTGCCTTGAGTATAAGGGAAAGTAAATAACAGGAGAAAAAAGAGAAGAGTAGATACCACAAAGAACTAATATAGACATCACTGTGAGAGTGTTAAGAGATATATATAATGGTGCCTGTGAAGACCATTACTGAGAATATGAAAAGGAAAAGAAACAAAAAATACGTGGCAAAGGTAATGTTGAATATTATGCAAATCGGAATTTTTTTTTTTTATTTTGGTTTTTTTTTTTTTCTGATCGCTCTCTTTTTTTTTTTTGTTTTTCGGTATCGTATTCCTTTAGTGGTTTGATATGGATATTATTATTATTGTTATTATTATTATTATTATTATTATTATTATTATTATTATTATTATTATCATTATTATTATTGTAAACTAATTCTCCCTGTGATTCCTGTGTGTCTCTGAACTTTTCTTCTTGTTTGTTGCTTTCTTTTCTTTTTCTTTCATTGTTGTGATCAATTTTATAAATATATATATATATATATATATATATATATGCATGGTATTGGGGGTATGAGTTTTGTGGCGAAAAAAAAAAAGAAGTTTACTTTTTTCTCTTTCTCTATATATGTGTTTATATATACATATATATATATATAAATAAATTAATGTTTATTACAGTAAAGGACATTTTTTCGAGTGGTAGAAACAAAGAACTTAATTTCTTTATCAATACTTTTCCAATCAGTTTTTTTTTGCTTTTTTTTTGTTTATCTTGTTTTCAAATAGCCCCCTTTTCAAGATGTTCAATTTTCTCTCTCTCTCTCTATATATATATATAGTAGTTGTATGACTCTATTTTATTCTTGTTGTTTTCTTCATGGCTCTATTCTCCTAATGAATGCAGGTGATGAAACTGTTTATTTGGGAATAATGGAGAAGAAAAAAAAGATATCTCAACAAGAAGATGAAGAGAAGAGAGATGAGATGAAATGAATGTTAATAGAGGGGGGTAAAGAAGATAATATGATGAGAGGTGATTGAGAATAATAATAAACAACAACAGGAGTTCAATAGAAAGTGTTTTTCTTGGTTTTATCTTGGGGTGCACGTATTTTGAACTTTTTTTTCTCTTGTGTTTCTTTTATTGATCCTTTATATATATATATATATATATATATATAATAGTTATGATGATGATACTGTTATTATTATTATTATTATTATTATTATTATTATTATTATTATTCCTTTATTATTATTATTATTATTTTT